TGAAATGTTGTTTTGACTTGCACTTCAGGGCCACCATAAGATCAGGTTGAATAGCAGCATTTCTCATGATGAGCCGAGGTTTGCATCAGTGATAGAGTTCAATCAGTTGTCAGGAGGTTGACCAGGTATATTTATGCTCACATTCCTGGTAAACGAAGCCCTGGCTTTATCATGTGAAAATTGGAAGCAGGCATTCAAGGACAGAAAGGAGATGTTTCTGTAACTAACATGTGTTTTAATTTTTCCTTAAAGTGCCAACGAGCATAACATATCATGATTTACTGCTAATATAAGCCCTGAGATCCACCCTGGTTTATGTCAGACTACTTAAGAGGACACAATAACTTACATAAGGTACTGATATGCTGAAGTCTGTTGATACTGTGTGTACACACTATAAGTGTTACTATATATATATATATATAATATATATATATATATATATATATATATATAAATACTGTGCAAGCTTTTTTGATGACTTTACTGAACTGCTGTCTATAGTGTGTATTGAATTTGACCGTCTAGTCATTGTTGGTGATTTTAACATCCATGTTGACAACCCCCAGGACAGAGGGGCTAAAGAACTGTTTTGTGTTCTTGATAACTATGGACTGACTCAGCATGTGACGGAGCCCACGCACAATAAGTGGCACGTTAAAACGTTAAAGAGGTGAACTATCAGAAATTGTTCAGGTGTTGCATATTACCACGAATATTGCACAAATAGTATCTCTCTCAAGTTGTACAACCATGCATGTATAGGTCCATAAAGTAGAGCATCATGTCCATATAAAAAACAAGATATATGAACCAAGGTCTTGACTGCGCTTTTTACATCAAAGCCAAAGCTTCTCTTGACCCCAGAGGGAAGGTTTGAGAAGGACCAGAGAGAAGCCTTTATTAAGAAAAGAGGACTTTTTCCCTAAACAGCACTGATAAGTGATATGATATGAGGTGTTTGTAGACAGGGACATGATAGTTGGTACAGATGTGAGAGGAACGGGGTGATCCTTTATAACAAAATGATCCATTTAAAGCCTCACTGAAAGAAGACAAAAAAAAGGATACATATAATTTAAGAGAGGGGAAATAGTAAGAGATGTCGAAAAGGGATGAAAACAGTGAAAAATGTAAGCTGGTGGTGCCTGGTTTCAGAGGTCATGTGAAAGATATTGGTACATTTTCAGGAAGTCATGCTGGTTGAAAAATGAGCATGAGATCCAATAACAAATTAAGCTCTTCTGCATTTTCTCTACGTATTTTGTTTCCTACTTTTAAGGAGCTTTAAATTAAGGTAAAGACACAGATAGAAGTGCAAACTGTCCTAGGTGGGAATAAGGTTTTATTTTTACAACCAAGTTCGTCTTTAGTCAATGTGATGACTGCAGAAAATAAGATTCTGATCAAATAAATGATGATGGATGTGAAGTAAGAGTCAAATCAAAGCCACAGTATACTTAGCAAGAAAAGAACAAATGGCAAAGAGAAGCTTAGGCAGTATTACAAACAGTCTGTGAGCTAACAAGGTTGACCCTTACACCACCCAACATATTGAGGGTTTTTATCTGAAAAAGGCACCTGTATACAATACACTAAAACTTTGACTTCATTTTTCAACTCAGCAATGGTACCGATTGCAAGAAAGTATGCAGTCCTATGATATTTTACAAGCTGAGGCATGATATCATCTCTATAATTTACATAAAGCAAGAGGGAGTCACATTAGCAACGTTTATGGATATTAGCTTAGAAGAAGATACCATTCACTTTCAAGATTGTCAAGGACCTCATGATTGCATCCATTCATGCAGGAAGCTGGGGGAAAAAACCTGAGCCTAAAGAGTTGCATCATTGGAACCAGCTTTTTAACATGGATAAAACTGTCATCAAGATTGTGTAAAATCTCACTGAACGTGAAAACCTTCTTCGTCTGCCCTGATAACTAGAGTGATGATGGGGGATTTCGAGGTTTAAAAAACCCCACAAAGCTAATGACATTGGTAAATGGATCTTTCACCGTTTATGTTGATGGAGAATTTTTTATGTCTATGTTAATTGAATAAGCAAAGACATATTCACATACACAACCATTAACGTGTTGTCTGATATGGCTATACAGTATATACAGTATATATACTTATATGGCTAAGCCAAGGCATTTTCGTGCTACTAAACTAAAAAATGTTATTACATATGTACACATTCCGATAATGAACTGGTAAGCATTAAAAACCAAGAACCAAATTCAAGTTAGAACACAGCGTTCTCTTGATGAAATTAATGTTTTGAACTAAATCTTTTAAAACCAAGCCAGAAACTCAAGATTGATTTATTCTTATTGTCTAATGACTGACCTAAACACTATACTGTATATATAGATATATTAGAAGGCATGTAGTATCATCTTATATCCCTGTCTAGACAGCACTGACAAAGCAACATGGCTTGGGAACCCATTGAGAGCTGAATCCAAGTGTCTGCATCTTCACACTGGCTCTCTGTCTGTCATCTGTATGAGTGTGCACATGGCTGAATGTGTGTGCTCCGAGTTTGTGACTCATGCTCAGCATGGCTGAATGTCTGTGTGTGGCTGCCTGTTTATCTTTCCTCTCCCTCAGACACCAGCCTGAAGCAGTGTTTCAACTTAGCAATGGATGTGGATCCCCTGGATGCAGTTGCTGCCCTAACTACTGTAGATGTGTTTTATTATCCAATGGTCTCATTTCTCCAACACACTATGAAATTGTCCATGTAATTGTCCGGTGTACCTTTTTGTTTGTATGTACTGTATACAAAACAATAATACTGTGGTTAGCTGTGAGTACTGCTGATACTGCTCAAACCCTTGTCTGGCATCAAACTGGGTGAGCACAGACCAGTTTGTTTAAATGATGGAATTTGATCACTTTGTGAAACGGTGAGGAGGACCATCAACTGTAAAATGTCAGGTTTTCCATAATTTTCTCTCCTTAAAATCTGAACTATAAAATACTGTATCAGCCCTTAAGCTTTGGATCAGGATTTTCCCCTATGATTGCCTGGATTGTCAAATACAGTTTACTTGAAATCATCCGTCCATCATCAAATGTTGGAGAAGAAGGCTTGACTGCTTAACGGTTCAAATCATTACACAGTTTTGGAAAATATGATCAGGGAAAATGAAGGAGAAACCCGAAAACAACCAAGGTGCCCTCGAGCAAAGTATTTATCCCCAAACCGCTCTATTAGAGTTGCTCAGTAGCCAACGGTAGAAGACTGGTTTCACACGCAACTTACAGTAAGTAAGGGAATGTGTGTGTTTGTGTGTATATCTGTTGTTGTCAAGCAGAGAAAATAAACATCAACAAATGAGCTTGAGAGGACAACAGAAGTTTGTTCTGAAGCCGCACAAGGTGAGCAAGGAGCAAAGCCAAGGTGGACTTCATTTTTATCTCATCCTATGGTTTTATTATATAGACTTCGATGTTCTTACAAAATGCCTCAAAATTGGTGCTTGAATAAGAAACCAGTAGTGGTTACAGGGAGTACAAATCCAATAATTTCCAAATAAGTCAGAGTAAGTGTGAGAAAATGGCACTATGGCTTTTCTTTGCTGAGTCCAGAGAACAAGATCTCATCATTTTAAGAGGCCCCTATTATTTCATAAATCGATCCCTGCAATACCTTCCAAGTTTGTATCAGCAACCTTGATCCCCCCGTTTTGGAGAACAATGAGGGGTTTGAGTAGCTGCAGTTTGGAGTATTTGCATTGGAAGTGGGAACTATCCAGATACATATGCCTGTACAGTTTATAATACATGATGTTTCCACTGAAGGAGAACCATAGTCTGCCAGTTTCCTGCCAAATAACATACTCCTCTCCAAGAGGGTCATAGACTGAACATACACATGTCAATGTAAGTTCACTTTTTTCTTTTCACTAAAGTTCCACATCAACTTTATCCAGAGACTTGAACAAAGTTTTGAATAAACAACACAAACATGACTAGTTAGAGATAAACAGTGACAGACAGTGAAGGGAGATCAAAAAGACCAAGACAATCACTTGTAAATCTATATTATACTGTCTGATACGACCTGGTTTATAGTGGTGACTGGCACATAGCAGAGTGAGTCACCAACACCATCTGCCCCTTCCTCTCTCACCTCTGCCTGTGTCTAGCTGTCTGGACCCTCTCTTCACTCGCTGGTGCCCACGCTTCATCAGCACTCCTCCCTGGGGTGATGGATGGCCTGTCCATACTTCGCAATGACTAAAGCCAGCTTCTTCCAGGCCACCTCATTTCTTCAACATTATTAAATTCCTTCCTATCACCCTTCCTCTGACTCACCCCAGCCCCTCGTCACCACCATGGCCAGCCCAGCCCTACGGTCAGCCCCATTTATGGCACTTGATAAATTGCCGTACGTCATTTTTCTATCATCTTCAGTCCGAGCCCTTCCTTCTTTTCTGTATAAACAAAACTTTACCATCACCGTCACTCTAATGATTTGAGCAATATATTGAAGTATCTTAGTTAATAGTTATTCATTAATTTTCTTGCTGTTTTGTTTATTGTAAATCTACCTTTTATTTTTGTGTAATTTTAGTTATTACGCACGAGACAACAGCAAGATATAAGAAAACTGTTGTACTTCTATGATATTGGATCAAAGAAATAAAATGCACAGAAACGACTCTTGCCTGGACTTGGATCTTCAACCCATTATTTTTTCTATTTGCAGTTAAAATATGCTGTGAAATCTTGTGAAACATTCCCTATGTCAGCTAGTTACAGGTCTATCGATGGACTAACACACTTAATAAATTGTACGATTTTATGGATGTGAGTATGCATGGTTATGGCATGGAGGAAAACTGTTTCAAAAACATTGAACAAATAAAACAATCTGAATAACAATTAAAAGACAGGGTTTCTTCACATCATAGTATTTAGAAGTAGAGTATACAGTTGCAAAAATGACATCAACTAAGTGTTAGATTTGAGTGTTTCTACCTGTGTAGACCTCTGCCTCTGAGGGATCCTCCACTCGTTTATGCTGGATGATGTAGTCAGAGACTTTGCAGCCAATCAGAGGCTCCACGTCCACCCACTCCACGGCCACCATTGTGCTTGAGGGCTCCAGGTAAGGGGCTAGGCGCAAACTAAGGACAAGATTCAACACATGTTAATAAGATAAATATTAACAATGATATCAACAGGTAACCACTAACACCCTCATTTTGAATTTGTATTAAGTGTGTTATGTGCCTAAGGTATGGATATAAACCCTAGAATTGATGAGTAAGAATCCCATGTGGTAATGGTTATGTTAGAGTACAGACTGTCACACCTCTGCCTTTACACTACAGTATCTCATTGGACAACAGGATGGCAAACAGCAGCTTTAAACAAAACAGCATTCCAATGCCACCTGTTCTCCAGAAGTGTTCCCTGTGAGTCTTCCCTCTAATACTTCAAAAGAGATAAAAGAACAATATTTCCATTTTGCCTGCCCTCCAGCTGTGTCTGTGACAATGGCTAAGAGAGGTAGGTTATCCCTCTTTCATAAAAAGGATGCGCTTGGATTTATCTTCACAGACAATCATAAAAAGTTCAGCAGGTTTTTACTGGCCTTACACTCCGGCACTGACCAGATTTGGAGATTTGCTTGCTGCAAGTTCTCATGACTGGTCTTTTTGTGCCAATATGCATGGGCCCAGGGAAAACTCTGGTTGTGGCACCACCCCATCATCTACAATTTCCCCACCACAATCCTCAAACCAGCCAATACCCAAACCACCATAAGAGTCCACTTGTGCATGACTTGTGCAACATATTTTTGGTAAAGTATTGCTTAAGAGTTAAAAAAAACAATCAAATCACAAGGTCAATTTTCTAGCTGTTCTGGAGTTTATCAGGAGTCTGCCAATTTTTTGTAAGTTGAGTGAATTTCAAATATATAAATGTTGTTTTTCTTCTCGTCTATGTTGGCTTAAAAGCTAAGGTGCCAATGTTAATTTGACCCTGGAAGCAGTGGAAGACTGGGAGCCAATTTTGACCCTGTTGCCACAAACTCCTTCATAAATCCAAAATCTGTGATATTTTAAATAAAATATATTAATAATATCCAGTCAGTATCCAAGGGATGGATCCTATTGACCAATACAATTGAAAATGCTTATGTACCTTGTAAGTACGATTTGTGCGATTGTAACCTTGTGATGAAATGTCACTCTTTAACAACAATAACGGTGAACTTTTTGATTTTTAATTGGCAACCATTGACTTAGAAAGCATTATGCCACATTGAATACAAATCTTCACAATATTTTATCCTTGTAAAGCTTTTATTGTTTTTCTAGAGTGGTGCCAATGAATGTTGCCTCAGATTAACCCTGGCATGTTATATTCTAATAGCCATATTTGTTCATTCTTTAAAGACTCTTTCATTGTAGCCTTAAGATCTGAATGAATGCCCTCAGTTCTCAAGGCAGCAATGGGCTGGATGACTCAAGAGTATTATTAGGACACCTTGAATGAGAGAATGTTCTTTTCAGAGGGGTGTAAAGGCAGACTGACAGCTATTAGAACTTCTGGGACTGTGCTTGTTTCTACAACTTTCTCTAGTGCCCCTCACTGCCCCATGAGTCAGTGGAGACAGGTGTGCACGTCCGTGTGCATATGTGTAGGCCTGCAGCTCTGTGGGGCATGGATCCATGAAATATATCTTGTGCATGAATTACTAGGTGTCACGGTGTCACCTCACACTTACATTGGCTGCCTGAGGGGACTGCAGTTAGGCAGGCCATCTTTGCTGAAGGCACTCAGGTCACAGCGACACCAGTTATCAATGACATCGCCCTTTCCAGCACACCAGTATGAGCTCATTGTGGCGCTCTTGAAGGCCTGTAAAGGGTAACAGGTGAGAGAAATGCAATTATCCTGCGCTGCCTGTCCATCTTTGCTTCCCCCACCCCCATCTTCCACCAAGACCACCCTCTTCACTGGTGCACCCATATCCCAGAACACACACACACACACCCACCCACGCCCACACACACACACACACACACACCCACCCACCCACCCACGCACACACACACACACACACACACACACACACACACACACACACACACACACACACACCACACACACACACACACACACACACACACACACACACACACACACACACACACACACACACACACACACACACACACACCACACACACACACACACACACACACACACACACACACACACACACACACACACAAACACACACACACACACACACACACACCACACACACACACACACACACACACACACACACACACACACACACTATTCATTTCCATTTCCCCATCCCCCTAAAATTAACCATAAACAACAACATATCAAACCTCAGCCTTCCCATATGATCTTTGGGCATTCCAATATTTCTTTGCTTTGAAAGAAATGTCCTCTCTCTGACTTATATAACTAAAACAGGTCTCACAAAGATAGTAGCACATGTACACACACACACACACACACACACACACACACCACACACACACACACACACACCACACACACACACACACACACACACACACACACACACACACACACACACACACACACACACCACACACACAGGAAATATTCATTTCCCCATCCCCCTAAAATTAACCATAAACAACAACATATCAAACCCCAGCCTTCCCATATGATTTGTGGGCATTCCAATATTTCTTTGCTTTGAAATAAATGTCTTCTCTCTGACTTATAGAACTAAAACAGGTCTCACAAAGATAGTAGCACAGGTACACACCCACACACCTACACACGGAGTGACCTTTTCAAACCCAACGTTCCCAATTACCGGAAGGCAGGAACATCTCACTAACATTGTCAAGCTTGGACTGTGATATCATAGATGCACTGTGACTTTTATAATGGTGGTGTGAAAGCTGTGACACTCCCCACCTCCTCCATTCTATGCGTATGTTTGTGTGAGGATCTGTCGGTGTTGATGTGGGTCTGTCTGCGCAGGGGACGGGGAGGAGAGGGGGAGGGGTGCTAGAAGATGACATCATCTCCTAACATCCTAGTGCAGCTTCATTAACGGGCGAAAGAAAAGTCAAAGGCAGAAGCTCAGTCATCCTCTAAGGAAGGAACATGCCAATAGAACCGTCAAAGTAATAAAGTATAATGTCAGGGCTTTCCCTTAAGCCACAGGCATGATAGACAGTGAGTTCAAGGGAGTTTGCAAGGACTGTGGCTCCCCCTGTCACACTATGGATCAATGGAGCACTCAGTTATTTATGCACTCTAACTGGTTGGCAGTGCTGCCTCATGCAGACAACTTTGGAGATGTGCTTGATCATGGTCACAAAAATAAGAAACATTATCACCCGGTACCAGGCACAGAGAAGACACTCCTTTGTTCATACACCATGACATTCACTTATCCGAAAGCAAAAGAGTTGTTGAGAACACACACAAATCTTTAAGATGACTGTGAACAAGCATTGTGCACGCACGCACGTGCGCACACACACACACACACACACACACACACACACACACACACACACACACACACACACACACACACACACACACACACACACACACACACACACACACACACACACACACACACACACACACACACACACACACACACACACACACACACACACACACACACACACACACACACACACACACACACACACACACACACCTCTGCAGTGTGTTGATTAGTGAAAGTGACATTTGAGATTACTTTGGGCATAGTTCTGACCAGAGAGGCAGATAAGTTGGCCAAAAAAAGAGTCAGGGCACGCACTCAGAAGCTGATGTTAGCATTTCCATAACACTGCATTGTTAGCTGTTAAGGAGGCTCAACAGTCTTTCATGGGAACTGACTTCTTCCAATACCCCTTGTTTCACTCAAGGCTCTTGAGGTGGGAAAGTAACCACCATGAGCAACAGAGAAAGGAAGAGTGGCGTAAAGGAAAAGGACATACAAAACATCAACTAAATGAAGGTGTGAAAAAAGGAAACTCAACTCATTCCCCACCTTACTGTGGGACAGGATCAGGATCCTTCAGCAGTGAAGGCTTCCCCAGTAGTTATCCTCCAACACAAGCCCCTCTAACTGAGCGTGCTGAATGAGCAGTTATTATAGTGGGTAAGCAAGCACTGTAATCCATGGCCATATAATAACCCCTTGGAAAACCAAAAAGGGGAAAAAGGTAATTACATTTCTCCCTCCTTGCCTGAACCCATGCATGTGACTAACTGCTGCCAGAAAACAACAGCAGCAGGGGTTTCACCACCTCATGTCAATTTGAAGCAAGCCACAGACAAAAGAAAAAACTGGACTCAAGTCCTATGCACGCACACTGACTAGACAAATATGAGGAATTAGAAATGACCGCTGCTGGGGGCAAAAGAGAGAGAGACCACAGGACCGCCATGCATTTACCAGCACCAGATTCCTAGAAAAACCCCATATGGGTCTGCTCGCTTGATTGCATGGCTGCACATGTGAAAAATAGACAAAGCGATTACCGCCATGTTTATGTTTGAAGAGTAATGCAAGCCAGTCTCCACTGGGTAAACAGGGAATCTAATTGTGGTTTAGAGAATGAAGTAGGGGGGTGGGTGGGGGGCACAGGAGGTAAAGCAGAGATGAAGATTTAGAGCAAAGCTAAAAGAAAAGTGATACATGTAAAGTGATACTATGTCGGATGTGTGGCCATAAAGAAAGCAATATGTCCGACTGTTGCAAGTGAAGTGAACAAAAATGCTTGTGTCAGTGAGGAAAATCGTTTAGTGAGATGACACACAGAGAGTATTTCTGTGTTTAATGCAGAGATAGGTCAGAACTGAAAAGAGGAGGATACCCTATACTGTATTGATTAACCACAGATCATACATTTCCCAGAAATACTATAGATCCATATACATTCTGTTACGGCAAATGAGGGGTAAGCAACCTTATCTATTATGCTTCATATTAGAAAAGTAAGTATTTTGATCAGAAAGGACCGATCCGAGCATTGACTGTAAGACAGACTTTATGTAGTCATGACAGATAGGCTTTCAGGAATTGGCAATACCGCTATGGTGATAATACCGCAGGGTTCTACAATTTAACAAATATACCACAATCCATTTCTATTGACCTTATCGATATTGAACAAATTGAGCTGGAATGTAATCACCCCCTGCTTACTGAAGACAACATCAGATCAGCAACAACTCCAAGCCTCGACATCATCTAAACCCAGCAGACTCACTGGCACCAAAAACTACTTGGACCTTTCACTTTCGTAGAAGCCTGTCGTGACTAACAAGAGGACAAGGAAGGCCATCGTGACCTCTTAATGTATTAATCTGTTTGTCTAGTCTAAGCTGACCGTATTACTGTCCATCATCAGAGGCTAATACACAAAAACACTATCCAGCTGGCCCACACTATTGATTTATAAGATGATCACCAGTGGTGGTAAATAGTCTGAGTCAGCACACACAGGACAACATCAATGGTGACCTAAGTGCGTATGTTTGTGTATGTGTGTGTGTGCCATTTGTCTAGCCTTTCCAATCATTCAGAGCTAATGGTGTTAACAAAGGAACCAATGGGCTGCTTCTAATAACCTTATCAGAAGTAGTACTTCCCGGAACATGGAAGAGGTTTGGTTCACCCAGAGGTTGATAGGGGATTACCGTGTCACTGGAGGGCCCTCAAACAGCACCAATTGGGTTCTAGTTGGGCCAACTCTCTGTTCGACGACGGTCTAAGCTCATCTGACCTTTCCAGCAAGTGGATTGACTGTGCTATTTTACTATGCGTTATCAAATAAAACTTGGTGAATAAACATTATAAATTATGAGAAAAGTTTGTCAATTTGGTTGTTAAACTGTTCTGTAGCCTAAAAGTCAAGTCTGATCTGCTGCTGATGTAATGCAAATGCTTTGTGGATTAAATGTTCACAATAACATAAACTCAGTTGCTCAGTTAACCCTACCTTCAGGAAGGTTATGATGTTAGGTTATTCTGGCAGTTGTATCAATTATTTTGTCCACCCAACCTCTATCAATGAAATATGAAATATGTTGTAATGCAATACAGTTTAACAGCACCACAAACTACAACAGCCCAATCTCTGTACAAATGAACATCAACAAACTAATAATTGTAACTTTCATGAGGATATCATTTATTGCAAGGTCTTGTATTAGAATGTATTATTTATAGTTTGGTGAACCTAATACACTGGAGGGAGTGAAGTATTTACTGTCCAGAGAGAGTTGATATGAATCTGTGTAATGATCTATAGGAGTATGCGCTCTCCTTGGTACTGAAGGGATGTCCCTGGAATCAAAACTTGTATTTTTTCTTCCTGTGTGTGCATTCGATAATGAGTCCTGCTGGAGGTGTGTTGAAGACGATCACCCTGAGTTGGCAGAAACATTCATGCTGTGTTTTTGTATTTATTTATTTTTTCAATTTTTAAGTATCTTAAATTATACATTTCTAGTTGCAGGCTCAAAGGATACTAGGGAAACGTCTTTGAATTGTGTTCAATGTTATTTTCACTCAATTTATTACTGGATATTGGACTGGATAATAAGGTCTAGCAAGTCCCCCTCCCCATCGTAAATATACCTGTCCTGGTCTTGTGGGTAATACTGCAACCTCTTTGGTTTTTGTGCAAATATGTAGTGTTCTTGTGGTTCTGCACCTACTCCTGCCCCCAATAAAATGCCTTAGACACGCCCCTGCGGGGGGCTGCAATAGTGCGTTATGGTGAGAGCATGACAGCGGCCATTGGCAAGATATAGAGCACTCTGACCCATTAGACTCACAACCAATTTGTTGAAAAGGTTTGCCATAACTCAGTCACAGCATCACATAGGACCACTGGCAAGCTCCACAAGCGTTAGATTATTTATTTATCCACTGAGGTATTTTTTCTCTGGCACTAAAACAGGGGAGTATCTGTGTGTATTTGCGTGCACACACCAGGCCTGTAAGCAAGACCACCTATTAGACGAGTGTAAGCCAATTCCAATTCCAAGATCAGTTCCAGTCAAATTCAAGTCAAGACCAGGTTCAAAGCAGACCAGGTTTGAAGCAGGCCAGGTCCAAAGGGAGGCTGTGGCTCAGTGGGTAGTGTGCTGGACTTCAAATCAGGGGATAGTTTGAGTCCCACTGCAGTCAGCATGTCGTTGTGTCCCTGCAAGACACTTCACCCCAAATTGCTCCTATGGGGATTGTCCACAGTATCGAATGTATGTAAGTCGCTTTGGATAAAAGCGTCTAACAAATGACATGTAATGTCCTTGAACAAAGCAACCTGAGAAATGTATCAAGACAAAGGTGGCGCAAATTTCCAACATTTTCTATTAAAAGAAACTAAAAAATCAATATGCTTTTACCAGAAAAACAATCAACAAACAAAAGACAATCCACATGCCCTTACTAGTTATCCATGCATATATTTTGAAGTTTTATTTGAATGGAATGTTATTGTGAGTGTTAACGGAAACCAAAACATTACACTTAAAACAAAAAAATGATATATTTTAACCAGAAAAAAGTGTATACATTACTCTACAAAGTCCACAAACCTCAGTATGGCATTCATCCAGCAACTGTTGGACAGTGAGACGTTTGGATAAGCGGAAATCGTTTTCTATGGAGAGGTTTTTTTCATTTCTTTCTATTCATCTCAATTATTAGTCAGCTCCGCACACACATTTTTATTCAACTTCATTGTAAAAGGTTAGAAGGAAATATATCATAGAAGCACATCTTAAAATCTGCGCGATTCAATAATAAAATAAGAGGTAAGTGAGACAAAACATTATTTTTCTATACAAGTACACCAACCCTTTTTAGGAAACACTAACCTATAATGGAAAGGTGGAAAGTGTCCCAGGTATTTTTTTATGCAAATCCTTAACTAGTCATTTTTAATGTCAGTACATGTACAACAAAATACTTTATTCTCCCCTTTGACAAAGCCACTTTGAGCAAGCTATTACTTCTGTTTGGTTCGGTTTCTTTCCAGTCCAGGTTGTGGTCTTTTCAATGAAGTGGTCATTTCCTATTGTAAAATAAATCCCTCTCTGGCTTCATAATGAGGGGATTGATGTGGAACGGACATGACATGTCCTGTCAAACAGTCCGGCCGCCAGGGAGAGGCCACTGAAAGATGCAGCTATTGAGAAATACGGAGGGGAAGAAGCCAAAGAGAGAGTGACAGGTGATGTACGGTAAACCTGGTATTATGCACACATAGACACATGCATACAAATAGGTAAACACGTAGAAGGTATGACCTCAGTATATCTTATAATAAGCTGGACAACTAAGCTGCTATTTTGATGGCTTCAGGGGATTTAAGGTAAAAAAAAAAAACTTCATCTCTGAGAAAGCTTTTGCAACATGGCAGCTGTCTTCCCAGATAGACCCAGCCAAGTAGAAAGTCGCAAGAAAAAGTGTGTGAGAAAGACACACACACAAAGACAGAGAGAGAGGGAGAATGAGAATGAGCAGTGGCGTGTGTGTGTGTGTGTGTGTGTGTGTGTGTGTGTGTGTGTGTGTGTGTGTGTGTGTGTGTGTGTGTGTGTGTGTGTGTGTATGTGGAAGGACAGGTTGTTGTGTCGCTTGCTTCTAATGCAATTTACGTATGTGCCTTTCAGACTAGCAGCAGCAGTTGCAGCCAAGAGAAGAAGCGAAGGAGAGGAAAAAGAGGAGCAGAGTGATGGACTCTCCTCCCTCCCAAGAGGTCGATGACATCAATAAGAAGCTAATAATCCTGCCTCAAGCTACCTCAGAGGGGCTTGCAAGAACTATCCACTGCAGTCCACCCCTTCTCCTCCACCTCGTACATCTCAGTCTCCACATCCCCAGAAGACCACGGGTTGGGAAGGGGGAGAGAGAAGGATGGAAAGTGAGGTGTTTGGAAGAGAGGGAAAAGAGACATTTTGCTCTTCCTCACGTTTAGCTATCGATGAGGCGCACTAGGGATCGTCTGATATTGATTGTGCCTTCTTTTCTTTGGGGCTCTGGTGCTTGTTATGGGCGGCACGTACAAGTGGCTTTGTAGTGTGTATGTGTGTGTTTGTGAGTGCATGAATGAATGCATAATGTGTGTTTGCCTTTTTGCCTCTTGTATTGTTGCTGCTTGCTGTCATTTCAGAAGGGAAGGTAATTAGATGCTTGATTGGGGGGAGCATGAACCCGTCTGCTCCCTATGGCGTGTGTGTGTGTGTGTGTGTGTGTGTGTGTGTGTGTGTGTGTGTGTGTGTGTGTGTGTGTGAGTCACCTGCAAACAGCTCTGATTTGGTTTACACACGCACAAAGAAGAAATGTACCGGATGACATGTAGCTAGACAATGTCAAGATAAAGCCCAAACAGAGCTAAATGTGGTAAACTAAATGTCAAGTGAAGCCACAGCCCCCTCCTACATTACCTTATGGGAAATGAATCTGATATAATTCACTTTCACCGCATGAAGATCCAAATTGTTTTTAAACAGGATGAATCATAATCACAACATGTGGCCATTAGGCTGATATTGCATTCAGCTGTGTATGCTTGTTTAGACAAACATACATTTCTTACACATCGACTTCCCCACAAGAGGAGAAAACTATGATGTCATCTTTTGATGCCCTCTGTATTACAGTGCTCATTTCCAGTGGTCACATTTAACCAACTGATGCCACCTAGAGGTGATTTGATACAACTGCATCAGGTATAACGCTTCAGAGGACAATGGATGTGTATAATGTAAGAGGATTAATACATGACTACATGGCACAAGATTGTATATAAGTGAAATACAGTATAACACTTCAATTATTTTGCGTCCTACACTCCCACGCAGAACAGATTGCACCAGGCAGAAAAACATATGTGGAAATGCCTCACATTGACAGTACACATCTGTTTTCAGAAGACCTAGTATAATCACATGCCATCCAGTTGTACATATTTGAATAATAATATGCCATCCTTCACCTCCGTATTATAATAGTTACGAATTTAAAAGAGATTCAGGCTTTAATGACATTGTATAGATTGTCTTCATCTTATGCAGAAATATTGTGCTTCATTAACTTCAACTATTAGTTTTGCTTTATGCTTCCAACTCTATGGGTTAAAGTGGATATGTTGCATCACATGTCTTGACTTGATTCAATTTGTCACTCTAGTTTTTACTGTCACTTTCTCAGTCATCCCTCTCAAGCAAACAAGCGCAAACACACCCCCCCACGCGCAAACACTACACAACACACACACACACACACACACACACACACACACACACACACACACACACACACACACACACACACACACACACACACACACACACACACACACACACACACACACACACACACACACACACACACACACACACACACACACACACACACACACACACACCACACACAACACACACACAGGTTTCTCACCTCTTTGGTGACGTTGTCTTGGACCAGGCTGTAGAGGGGCACCACGCGGCTGACTTCCAGCAGCACAGGGATGGGGGAAGGCGGCTCTCCACTCCTGCTGTTACCGGTGCGGCCTCTCCCTGACAGCCCTCCCACCACGGCCTGGTGATGGCACAGGTGGCAGCCAGCTGGACAGCTGCCCTTCTCCTCGCAGCGGATCTCCACGCCACTCACCATGTCGTCAGACAACAGCTGGCTCTTCTGCATTGCTGACAGGTAGCTGATGAAGGGGACCGACTTCAGCTCACGCCGCGCACCGCCACTAACCCCTTGGTCTGTCGCCTCTGGAGGGTTAAACAAGAGAAGAAGGGAGGGTATGGGTAGGAGGGGGTGCAGATAAGGATAAGCCAAGTTAACAAAAACAAGCATTTACTTTAGGGGATGAAGGAAAACAGCTTAATCTTGTTATATGCAAATTGTAAAAACAATCCCTGTTTCCCGTACTTTCTGTAATCTTTTTTTCCATAAAACTATTTATGTATCGTAAAGTGTAAAATCTAAAAAAAGAATCACATTCCCTCAGTTGCATAATGCATCCACTTACTTTTACTTGCTGCCAAGGGGAAGAAGAAAAAACAACAACTAATTCCTTACTGTCATCAGCTTTCATAGACAAAGGATGAATGGGGTGGGGGGGGGGTGTCACTTGCTTCTTTCTATTACCACAGTTTGATGTTATCACTGAAGTAAGAAGGGATTTGTTTCCCCCGATTTACTCTTTCAGTGGGGAAAACAACACACCATGCGGAAAGAAGAGGCAGCGACAGAAGCAGGGGAGGAGTAGAAACAGGAGGAAATGATACTTTGGTGTTGAGTGTTTCATTTGGAGGACACATCAGGCCACATGTTACAGTGGAGCATATCTTCCATCTGGGCTGATGTGGCAGATGTGCTTTAGTGTCTATTTGCTTCACAAGAGGAGAGGACACATGTGTGAGTTTTAAGTGATACGGTGTCATTTACAGTGAAAAATAACCATATTAAAATTGGAATTACTGTATAATGATGTATCTTTGAGACATGACTTATCATATGTGAGTGGAAACCACACAGCATGAGAAATGTATTTGCACACATTTGATTTCACTCCTCAAACCCTCGATGTTGCAGTTAAATACACTGCACATGTCTTATACTGTATATAGAGGTGTAGGTTGCCAGAGTATTAAGTAACATACACCCTATGTAGATTAATGAAGCTTTTTAGTTGAAATTGAAGAAAAAAAACCTCAGCCCCTAGCACAAGAGTATAAACACACAAATCTGCAAATGTTTAGGTTACAATCTTACACCCCCATTGACGTTAATACAGAGGCACATGGATGTATGAAGGAGATTACCCATGCATACAGAATTTCATAAGCGTATATATGCACACACACAAAGACCAAGAAAAATAAGGGAAACCCTAAACCCAAAGGAAGTGGGTAAGAGAGCAGGAAAAGCCCTTGACATTACTCAAGGTGGGGTAATTGGGACCAATTAGGGTTAATATTTTTAAATGACTTATTTCCTGTTAACCATTTTAATGATAGTGAAATCCAACATCCCTTAAACTACTGGCAGTGGCAGAAATACAGTGCATGAACCCAAATGTGTTTGTTTGAGAGACGGAGTGAAACTTGTCTAAATGTTTCTGCATGAGCAATTTCACATGGACTCCTATAACATCAACAATATTAAATACGTTGCCCCAAGACATGAAAGGGGTGTGTAAACTTTCAACCATTCATTTCTCAAAGACAAACACATGCGCTTTACCAGCAGGTATTTCAAAGTTACGAAAAAACAGAACACGGATGGGGGTGTTTTCAAGGACTCTTTTTTTGTAGTTATATTAGCAGGAGAAAAATACTATATATGTCAAGTATATTTGACATTACAACTATGCAATTTGAAACCAAAATACTTTGATGTAACAAAAAATGCTGAAAATAATAATTCATGTGATTACATAGCAATACTGTACAAAGTATGTTATATTGTACAAACGTTAATAATTCAAATGTGCATAGGAAGTTGTTCAATCATTTATATTTACACATTAACACATTAAATTATTGTCTAATGAAAGGGATAAAGATAAAGAAAACAAGTAAAGTTGCTTTCATAACATACAGTAACTGAGTTTTTTGACATCCGTAGAAAATAAAATAGCTGTAGAATATTTTGGGCAATTACTGGGGTCATAAGTCCATTGGCTATAATAGAGATACTAAACATGTTTATCTAACAATAATTACATAGATAAACAAGTGTCATATCACATTTTTACACACAATCTGAACGTGAGGTCACTGAAAATGCCCAAAATCACCAGAAAGAACATTAAGGACATGACCCTGGTTTGTGTGAGGGAAAGAATTGAATCAGTACATACAGTACATTTATTTATTTATATATGTCTTTGCAGCTTATTCCTGGCGTGCGTATGTAAGACACTGGGAGGCAGTTGAAAGGGTAGTTGGTAACCTCATGTGCAACAGTATGTAAACAGGCTCAAGGGGTGGCCCAAGAGCCCAATTACATGCACTTCTTGAGGCAACACAGACACAGTAAAAAGAGCTGTCTTCACCGAGCTCCTACAATAAAGCCCTATAGCTCAGGTTGGCTGTGGATAGCCATTATAATTCACTCCTACCCCCTTAAACTCAATACAATTGTTTTCATCTATGTAAACAAATGCATTTGATGAAAGATGTGGAACTGACATGTATTGGCAGAGAAAATAGCCAGGAGAAAACGTAGCCAAGTGTGATTGTCAGTGTTTACATTTTTTAGACTTTGGTCTTTTTTTTCAAGACTCTTAACTGTCTTATATTAAGGCTGGTAGCAACTGCTGTAACATATAATTTCCATCTGGGATTACTATGTAAGTACTTTGTCTGTGTGTCTGTTTATTGATGTGTATGCAATGTAAAGTTCCATCTGAACAACAGTGACACCCTTCACAAGGAGAAATTAAATAGGACCATGTGTATTTTTGGAGTGGCTATTCATTTGGCCTTTTAATTAACTTATAAACGATGACATCTCTTTGCTATGTGGAGTTATTTGGTGGTGGCTGACACTTGGCTATCATCAAACATAGTGAAGAGATACATGGAGTGAATTTCCTAGCCATTGATCTTGCACTGGCTTTGTTCATTAAAACGTCTTTGTGGACTTGTTGCAGTATAATTACTCATGAGGGACACGTCGCCTCTGGCCAGGGCTATGTTGCCCAGGCAACAACAGCAAAGGTGTCAGATGTCTTCCGAAGCAATTTATGCTGTTAGATGTGGATACTTTTGGCATTGTTGTTTTCACTTTATTAAAACAGCTGCTTGTGCTACATGTTGCACCGTTTTCCGATTTGAGCAAACCCTTGTTAGTAGTTTATATTCTTGTATATAATTGTACAAAGTCTTTCACACATTTGTATCTGTGTGTGACTTGTACAATGTCAACAAAGTCTACTTCATTTCACCTTTGTAATATATTGCCATTAACTATTCAAACATAATTTACTAGGGAAATACAAATACATATACATGTATTGAATATGTTAAATAAATTCAAAAATAAAATAAACTAGTAGTTTAAAATAATTTTGCAGTGGGTTACTTACTTCTAGTTCTTCATTAATAACTTCCCAGTGATTTAAACAGTTGTAGTAATGCTTTTTATATTTAATTTGTTTATGTGACCATTACTTGTAATTTAACCTGTTTAGTTCGGTTTTGACAAGTGAAAAGGGGGGCTAAAGATGTAAAGTTATATTGTAATTAATGTAATTGTATTGTAAGTATCCCTTTAGCTTTGCTGCAGTTAACTTCTCTCGGTGTGCAGTTTGTGGTAGCTTGCTTTGTTGTGCTCATATAGAAAAACCAGATAGATTGTGTCAGATTAATTTACTCTTCCTGTGTGCAGAAATGTTGCATGGGCATCTTCTCAAAGACTTATTCTGACATCTAGTGGTCATTTTATACAATTACGTCTCACGTCTAAAAACAAACATGTCACCACACCTGGATGTTTTAAAATGCAGTACTTCAGGTTTCTCTCTAGCTCTCTCTGTACAATTGTTTGCTCAGTTTGAGGTCTGTTTTCTTCTTTACTCAATAGACCCAGTTTATATATGTGTTTTTTTGGAGGATGAACTGTTACAACAAGGAAGTAATGTCTTCCTTTTAAACTCTACAGTCATTGCAGGATCAATAAGGACAATTTTAACCTATATTGTAGCCTACTTATATTGTAACTCTTAACGGGATTAGGGACTGTGCATGGCAATATACATATTTTTATGAAACACGTGACAATCTGATGTGTCTGAATATGGGCACATCGGGATTAAGCCAAATGAAAGATAGTCCAATTATATAAATCTTAATATTCAACATATTCCATGGCCTGCAACAATATTACGAGTGTGCCATCAGGATCAGGACCCTGGCGTGCCCTTGTGCAAGCCCACACAGCAGCCAATCAAAACAGACGTCAGGCTCTGAACTGTGCGTATTGCGTAACACTGCGTACGTGACGTCGTCCACATTGCAGTCTCTTAGCAGCTGCAGCAGTAGCACAAACACAGCCCGCCCATCAAAACCTCTGAACTTCCAACCAGCTAAAATTGAAGACAAGGTAATGTTTTCATCATGAATATTTCAAAGAGACACCTTACCATCAACCGCAAGTCGTATTCTCGAATGCTCGTTCATCCAAACCAGACGTGTGATGATGACTGACTGACATTGTCGCGTTGTATCAAGTGACACGTTTGTTGTTTTGTCGAGAGGCCTACAATTAACTTGTCTACAATAAGGATATTCACCCGGAACTTCGTTTATAAGTATGTGCCGCAAGGTCCACCTATTTTTAGGCATCAACAGCACTTTCGTGCCCAGTTAGCTTGCTTATTCATTGCTAGTAATTATGGCGTCGGACGATCGTGTGTCCAAGCTAAATATCAACAATTAGCTTAACGTGCCTGCCCTTTATAACCAGTGTTTCATTGTGAACGTTTATTCTCTTTAGCAGCACTATGATGTAATCAGCTGTAATCAAAATCAGCTCGTAAAAAACACACGTTGACTAACGTTAGATAGTTGTCAGTGAATGGTTTCCCAGTTAACTCGTCGCCACATAAGTAATGTTTGTTTATGTCAGCCAAACCGCTAACAACTACCTACTTTTAAAAAGAGAAAACACTAGTTCGCTGTGCTTGTTATAACTGTCCACATACTCATTGGCATGGCATTAAATACCCTCCAAATTAGCCCAATAACATTAGCTTTGAGGCAAATATTTGCATTGTATAATTTATTTGTAATCACGTCAGTGATTGCATCACAGTATCAAACTATGCTACACTAAACTGCTACATGCATTAAAAACACAACTCTGTGGCATCATTATTTCAAACAGACACATTACAACCCTTTTGTGTTGTTTTTTGTCACTAAAGGAAAGGACCAACATGGAGGCAGCCTCTTACCCGCTGGACCCAGATCTATTGAGGGAGGTTCTTGAATGCCCTATCTGCCTGGAGACCTACAACCAGACTCAAAATGCGACCAACTCCTGCAGTGTGGTCACACAGTGTGCCGGCAGTGTCTAGAGAAGCTGTTGGCTAATACTATAAATGGTGTGCGCTGCCCCTTCTGTAGCAGAGTGTCCCGTATGAGCAGTATCTCCCAGCTGGCCGATAATCTCACTGTGCTCAAGATCCTTGATTGCACTACATCCTGCAGTGCTGCTACTGCTGCCTTAATGTGCAAGTCCTGCTACAACCGCTACCACGACAGTACTGCCATGACTGTGCCACATTCCTCTGCGAGCTCTGTAAGAAGAGGGCCACTGCATCAAGGACATTCAATACAGCCAATCAGGGTGGCCGCTGAGCAGCGTCGTAAAGAGCTCGGTGGCAAGCTGGCTTCTCTGCGTGATGTCATGAGTGAAATTCAGAAGAAAAAATCAACTATTGACAACATTTCCAAGTCCTTGAGACTAAAGTACCAGGCAGTGCAGCAGGACTACGTGTCAGCTGAGCTACGTCTTCAAGAGGAACTCGGCCGGTCTCGAAGGACATTCACAACTTCCATGGCAGAAGTGGAGAAGCTAAATGGGCAGGTCTTGGAGGAGCAGACATACCACCTTAACATTGCAGAGGTAAAAGTGGTGTCACGCTGCGATTATCTGACAATGCTGGTGAGGCAGAGTGATATCGCTTTGCTAAAGGATGATGGCGAAGGCAGAGATGATGAAGAGATAGATTTGAGTAGCAGCTTGCCCACCATGTTTCAGCTGCAAGAGCCCGAGCTGGTCCGAACAGAGCACACTAAACCTGTAGAAGTGGGCCAAGTTACCACAAACACTTATACTGTCAATACAGAGGATGAGGAGAGTGGGCTGGAGGTTGCACTTGAGGGTGATCTAGAGAGTGTAGCTGGGGCAATGGGGGCTACAGGTGGTGGAAGGGGGGCTCCATTGGACCTTTACAGAGACATTGACATGTTTGCCACTATAGAAGAGGCAGCATGTGGTTCACCAAGCAGCTTTAAGTCAAAGTCCATGGATGCAGGCGGGGGGTCACCTGGAGGGGCTGGGGCAAGTGCAGGCCCCCAAGTCTGCCAGTTTGTGAAGAAGATGGGCTGCAAGGGAGCGCTACCTGGCACCTTCAATTTACCAGTCAGCATCTGTGTGACTCCACACGGTGAGGTCCTGGTGGCTGACCGTGGAAACTACCGCATCCAGATCTTCAACCGCAAAGGTTTCCAGCGTGAGATCCGCCGCAACGCCAGTAGCATCGACAACTTTGTTCTGAGCTTCCTCGGAGCTGATCTGCCCAACCTCATCCCCTTATCCATTGCCGTCACTCCTCAAGGCCTGATTGGGATCACAGACAACTACGATAACTCAGTTAAGGTCTACACTATGGATGGACAATGTGTGGCCTGCCATAAGACGCAGCTGATTAAACCCTGGGGCATTACTGCCACGCCATCAGGCCAGTTTGTTGTGTCAGATGTGGAAGGGGGCAAACTATGGTGTCTAACAGTGGACCGCAATGTAGGTGTGGTCAGCTACAACCGATTGTGCTCTGCTGTGCGGCCAAAGTTTGTGACGTGCGATGCGGCTGGAACAGTCTATTTCACCCAGGGTCTAGCCCTGAACTTTGAGAAACGTCACAATGAGCCCTACCTCGAAGGTGGCTTTTCTATTGGCTCTGTAGATAAAGAGGGTCAGCTGGGAAAGCAGCTCAGTCACTTCTTCTCAGAGAATGAGGACTTCCGCTGCATCACCGGTATGTGTGTGGATATCAATGGGGATTTGCTGGTAACGGACAGTGGCAGAAAAGAAATCCTCCAGTTTCCCAAAGAGGGTGGATTCAAAGTTCTCATCCAGGAAGGTCTGACCTGCCCTGTAGGAGTGGTCACGACCCAGAAAGGACAGCTGCTGGTGCTTGATTGTTGGGACCACTGTGTCAAAGTCTACACTTACCTTCAGAGGAGGCACTCCTCCACTTCCTAGAGGACAATTCAGATGTATTAGGTATGTGTTGGAAAGCGTGTTTGAAAAAGGTAGACTCACACTGTAACCTGTCACTTTAGTTTGGCTGCAGACCAAACGAGTCTTTTTTGGGTTATTAAATGAGAAATATAGTCAAACTGGTTTAGTTTGAAACCCACTGCATTTTATTGTAATCAAATAAAATGATGCTACTTAAGCTGCCTATTATCTAATAATTTAAATGAAAAACAAAACTTGGTAAATTGTTTTACTACAAATAATACTTGCAATAGTTGTCAATAGAAGCCAACAATTGTGAGGCTGCTGCAGTCACAGTTTACTGATACGTGCACCATTCAGCCGGAGTGTGTGTGATGTATGGCTTTCACTAATCTGGCTCAGACATGCAACAAAGAATATGATAAAGAAAAGCTGACAGATTTGCATATAAAATGAAGCATACCAAGGCTTTGGGCCTGTGAAGCACTTTATTATTGACAAACACTGTTTTCCTAGTGTGAGGTTTTAGTAGCACAGGCTAACATTGATGTTGCTGAATGCAGCAGGCGCTTTAAATGTTTACTGTGCAGTTAGCTAATGGCAAACAGTAAAAGTATACAAATTCATTGGATTTCATTCAGGGAACATTAGCTTAGAATATTATCTTACTACAGGATAGAGGGTTGAAAACTAAATTACAACATGATAGGCAATGGTGTCATTTTCCTGGCTGCTGCGGGTTAACACTTCTTTGAGGGGAATGCAAACAGATACTGATGTTTAATTTGTAGGCCACATTATTATCATTTTGTCCTGGTACCTAATTAATACTGCCTAGCTAGCATATGTGCTGTGTATTTTGAATCAGCGCACCAGCTTAAAAAGCAAATATTACAAAAAAGCTAATGTATGATCTACAAACAAAAAATGTTCTGTCCATTCTTTCATTCAACCTCTCCATGTGAGTTACAAGCCACTGCCTCACTTGTGTCCTAGGAGGCAGGCTAACCTTCTGCAAGATAACATGTCATCTGCCCCATACTGTATCCTATTTTAGTTGTACTTCAGTCAAACGTATACAATTTCAGGCCTCTACATCACCTTCTGTTTGCCTTTCATTTAACCTGAACCATGAAAGTAGCTTTGATCACTTACACTGTAGCTCCTTTTCTAATTCCCACTTGTCAGACAGAATTGTGTCCATTGTTATTAGCGTACCAAATGTTCAAGATCATTTTTATAACATGAAAGGCTTTAAATTGCATTATTATTATTTTATTATCTAAGGACTAACCTTCAACTAAATCATGCAATCTTCTATCAATTACTTTTTCCAGTAAAGCCGACACCAAAAAATAGCTCTAGCACCTGGACCACATAATCACACATCAGGTATTTTTACAACCGTTGTTCAAACCTCTTCCAGAGAACCTTTCCATGCCTGGTCTGTGGTTACACAATCTTTATGGGAAAACCTGCAGGAGTGTTCAGAATATCATTGCAAATATAATAATATGAGGTGAATACTCACACACCAAACCTGGCTCTGTTGGTTGCATGTTGCTATGTCACCATCAGGTTTTTATTTAACACTAGACAACTTGCAACCTGAGACAACAGCCATATACCGTGTTCTTGAATAAGTGGAAGTCAACATTAAATTCATCTTCAGCTTAACTGATTTCTGGGTCCATATGAAGCATTAGAAAGCTGCTTTTGTCAGGTAAAATACAAATAAAAAAAGACACTTTTAAATCGTAATATTTTGTGAAATATGGGGAATCAAATTAATCATTGAAACCCCGCCCTGTTTGTATCTGATGTCCTTAAATTCGTAGATAGTTAATATGCCTTCCTGCCAATACCTATCTTCTTGATATGCTCATAAGAGTTTATCACTAACTCAGCCTTAAACATGGTTTCACAAAACTGACCTTAACTCTGCACCTGGAGCCCTATTCAACAGAAGAATACAAATATATTTAAAACATCTGACTGTGTTGTAAACAATAATTGTGTGTGATATTTCAAATAAGTAAAGTGTTGAGGTCAAGGAATAAATAGATCTGAATTTGAGTACACGGTGAAGTTAGTTATTTCCTTGTGCTTTTTCACTTTACATTACATATTTGTTTTAATTGTTATGCCAATTACAACACTAAAGTATAGCTGTGATTCAAGATTGTCTCAGCTGCATGTCAACCTTGCCATACAAACACTGTTCTTGAGTCACTTTATTCATGGTAATAGAAGTAGTTATCACTAGAAATTCAAACGTTAGACAGAAATGCTATGAGAAAAATCAAGTGTCCTTGTGTCAGTGTTACTGAATACGTATTTTTCCATGTAATTGAAGAGAAATGTTTCCCTTCGATGATTTATACCAATGGATCTTAATACCGCCATGTGTCCACACCTTATATTCATGAACCAAACTCCCAAGTGTTTCAGGTGTATTGACCTTTGGAGGCTGTGCATTTTACACAGCACAGACATCTTTATGTAGTCATATTCATGTTTGTATTGTTGATTATCTGAGTGCAATAAACATTTACGAAACAACTAAAATACATGGATGATTATTGTGTCCTCATTTATTACATATGTATAGTCATACAATTGTATGTTTTCTTTGTGACTGTATTTAAAGCATACCTCTTTTTGGTCCATACTTTGCCACTTTTTGAGTTCCATTCATTTTCAGTTCATGCTGAGATAAGTGGTGGGTGACAATAATATCCAGGATGATTCTAAGTTTCTAAAGCATTACACATTCACTTTAAGGCCTAGCCATGTCTTGATGTCGGGTTCGAAGAAGTATTCAGATCCTTTACTTCAGTAAAAGTATAAAAACATCAACAAATAGATTCCAATGAAAGTACATAAGTAATATCAACAACATAAGTTAATGTAGCTAAAAAACACTTCTTGAAACAGCATTTTGTCAATCAGATTTAGTGATGCATTTCAGAATTAATTTTCTCATAATCAATTTGGTTGAAATTAAATCTAATCCCTGACACATGGATAATGTCCCTTTCATAAAGCATAGTACTTCTCTGTGCGTTTTCAATCCTGGTCCTCCTCGACCCAAAAATATGTTTTCTTTTTACAACAAAGTGTCTTTTTTTTAAAACCCAGTTTCCAGCCATACTGATTGGCCGGACTGAAAAGGAGCACTTTTTAGGATCACGGATTAAAAAAAACACCATTTAAAATGGAACAGTGCTGCTCCGAATATGCTTTCAGGCTGTTAAGTCACACTGATGATTAATTCAATCCATGCAGAGCTTGTGTTGCCTTTTCACCAGAAGGAGAATCTGGGCAGGATACAATCTTTAAACATAACCAAGTTTAATTTATAGTCTGACAAAGTATGACCTGGCTCTACTTTTCTTCAGTGTGTATTTGTATGAAATGGAGTTCCTTGACTTAGAACATGTTTGCTTTATTTAGTTACATTTGAAACTCCTGGAGGCACCCTAGTGTTATCCATACCCACACAGTACAATTATATGAACAATTCCCCTTTGGCAGATCCCCCTTTCCTCTAAAATGAATATGAAAATAGGTCAATTCATCCCTCTATAATTCAGCACTAAATCTTTTTGGCCTTCTACCTGTGTGTGAGCACACACTCACCTTTCTGGTACTGCAGCCAGAGTTGCTGCTGGGCCTTCTTGCTGGGAAAGTAGATGCTGCAACCGAGCTCAGAGCCGTACAGCGCCTCAGACACGTAGTGGCTGCCATATTGATGGAGAAAAGCCAGCAGCTCCTCGCGTGTGCTCTCAGCTGACAGTGTCTTCAGCACCTTAGAAAAGCCTACCAGGTCAAGAAGGAGATGGTAAAGTAGAGATTTTTGTATGGGGTTGGATATTCAGCCTAATGGTGCACATGTGTTGTGATCTGAAAATCAGGATTATTGAATGCAGAAAGCTTCACAAATAATGAGAATGAAAGGTAGGTTGACTAAATATGCAGAATATACTGTATATTAAAGCTGTTTAGTCTGGTAGAAGTTATTGATTAATTATTATCACTTATATTGAGGTGCTTTGTTATGCTAGGAAATCACAAGGTCACATTATTGAGGCACTGACCTGTAGATAAGGTGATGGAGCTGAGTTTGACTTTGTACAGATTGCTGCGCACTCTCCACTGTTGAACCATAGGATAGCCTGCTGCCTCACTGAATTGGGCATCCCCTAAGAATAAAAACAAATTAAACAAGGAGAAAAATTAATACCAAAAGAGAGATGCAATAAATACAACAAACAGAACAATTTAAAACACATTATAAAACTCAGAAAGTAGCTGGAATTCAAGATACATGAGTACATAAATAAAAATCCAGAATTTCATTTGGAACCTATTATTGCCATTTCATTATTTATTATCACAGCCTATATCCCAGCTGCGCCCGGATCAATGGCAGATATAGAGTGCAAGCAACTCCAATTGGATTGCTGACATTAGAAGAGGGAGCAATCTCGCCTTTCACTACAATTCAATTACCAAACTTTCACACCAGTTTAGAAATAAAGCCACAAAAGTGAAGAGCAAGGGAAACAAAATAAATGAACTGCTTACGCGAACCTTGATCCTTTACCTCCGCAAAATGGTTTACACCCGAGACAAAGGCAATTTAGTTTCTAAAGTGTGTGTGTGTGGTGTGTGTGTGTGTGTGTGTGGTGTGTGTGTGTGTGTGTGTGTGTGTGTGTGTGTATGTCCAGTATGGTGAACGCAGAGCCCAAGTATAAATCTCAGGGGTCAATTTGGATCAAATGCCAATTTAGCTAATGGAGGGATTAAGGAGCAGAGTTGGGGCAGGTTTCAAGCCAAATGTCTAAGTGACTCTTTTCCCCCCCAAGATGGGGTGGAACAGTCACGGAAAGGATAAAAGGATGAAGCATCAGGCCCGGCACACGTGCATGTGTGTGTGGAGAGTTTATACTTAATACTTTGTGTTTATGAAAGTGTGGCCCAATTCCAATCCACCCCCTACCCCTACACACTACCCATCCGTTTGCGCGGAGGGTCCGCCACATTAAGTGCTGTTCCAAACCTACGAGTGTGGAGGGGGAGTGGGCTATCAAGCCTTCAAACGAGTCTGCATCGGTGCTGACTTCACCTGCTGCCCTACCTGACCGGACTCAACGCTGTGTGTGTCCGTCAGGAAACAAGCTGTTTACAAACAGTTCCTGCAAACATTCACTGATAAATTGCGATGTTAACAACCTCATGATAACCTCAAATATTTTTTAACTTATCATACTTGTAAATACAAGTATGATCCTAAGTCATACCTATGCATTTTATTATAAAGTTGTGTATATTTACAGACTGTTGCAAAAACTAAGAAGCTTATAAACAACAGGTTTAAAACACAATTAAAGATGTTTGGAGTTTTATTTTAGTTATTAATTAAAAATGTTGTCCAAGAGATGCTGATTTGAAACCGTTTTTGATTTGATGACCAGTGACCATGAATAGAATGGGTCGTAGAAAGATAATAGAGCTGCCACCTGATAAAGCAATGACTCAAATCTATTTGTCTGAAACTTTCAACAAGACAAGAGAAAAAGACCCCAAACTCACTCACCTGTGAGGAGCTGCATGTTGGGCAGGGGCTCGGACAACACCCCCCGACATTGTTCCTCGACTGGCAAGGGGATGACCATGAGACCGTCGGCTAGCTGCGGAAAGTCCTTGATGAAGTTGTTGTCCCTGATGGGGAGAGAGAGAGAAAGAAGGCCATAATTTATCACTCAAACATGAGGTAGCAGTTTACTTGACAATTAAGAGATTCAATATTACAAGGCTATCATCTCAGTACAAAGAATTTGTATAAAAAAGACAGACCCTGGGCACCTGGGCCTGTATATTCGTGGTATTTTGGCTGCACAATACTTAATAATACATGAAAACAACTAAACAACAATACATCCAGACATGTTTCCGTGCATGGCAGCTGCTCGCCTCCTGAATCATTCAGAAACATAATTCAATGCGTTATTTTTCCTGCATCTTTCTCTACGATACTATTTTATTTGATCAATAAAGTAATAGACTCATTGGTGGCTAAACATGAGTGAGAAATATACTGTATTATCTACACATTAAAGTGTAGACTCTAGTCATGTTGGTTATTCATTCCATCCACAAGTGACAGAATTAACTCACTGCTTGGGTTAACATCAATAACATGGGTACAAAGTCAAAATGTGTGTGTTTGATACTTGGCAGACAAATAAAGTAAACAGCTGTGTCCTCATATTTGAGGGCTGGGTAGAGAGCTGCATGCAAAGATAAGATAGACCCCTTGGAATCTCTCTCTTTCTCTCTGCTAGAGATGATAAGTACAAGAAAGAATTTCAAAGTTAAAGGAAGCGCGAGGGAAGGGAAGAGGAAAACAACACACATAACATCTATCTATGATAGTGAGAGGTTGCAAAGAAAACAAGTGGATGCAAATGGAGAATATATATCTAAATGGATGCGTTATTCACTAAACAGAGCCTTTTTCACTTTCCCATCTATTTGCACTGTCGTAGTATATCACAGTGGACAAATCACTTGCAAAATAAATAGCAGTAGTCCAACAAGTAGAGAGATGGTGCATGTTCCGTTCCATTTTTCTTGAGTGGATAGACCGTTCTGGTTGAACCAAAGCAGTTGCAGTTCATCTCCTGTCAAAAAGATGAGTTGTCCTGCTGCGTTTGAAGAGAATGGCAAGCAGCAGCAGCAACCTCTCCCATAATCCACTTTTATGGGACCAAGGCTCAGAGCGCAGACCTTGTGCCACAGAGACCCCTCTCGGTTCTCTTTCTCTCTCTTTTTCCTCCTCTTACCACAAAGCCTGTTAGAAGCAATCACAGCCTTAGTGTTACAGTGCAGGGATGGGAGGATTGACTCAAGGGCAGAGGATGAGAGAAAGAGAAGAGGTGGCAGTAAAAAGATCACAGTGGCTTATTCTCACAGAAAACATATTGATTGCTAAATTAAATCAGCCAGGTTCACGCTGAGGCTCAGAGAACCTTAGGAGGTGTATGCACCAAGACGTTATCTAGCTTTATGGATTTTTTTTGGATCCCAATGTGGAATGCCTTTTTCTTTTCGGCCACTTTGCTGACACCACCCAGTCACATTCTAGGATTTGAAAGACATATGGTATAAGATGGCGATGTATCTCGTAGTTAACTGCATTTGCTGAAAAGTGAGAATTAATGGAGAATAAAAAAACGGTATAGCCTAGTGCCTCAGGTCTTTGCTGTGCCTGAGTTTACATAACATATTATATCCTTAACCTCCTAATACTTCTTCTTCAATCCTTGAGGGAAATAAACACCTCGAGCAAGGACAGATTGTTGTGGCATCTGTCCATGTTCGCACAGGTTCAGTTGCGATACAGTAAATTCTAAAGAGACGAAGTGTCAATCCTGTATATTTGTGATGTGTTGTTCTGTCAAGGCCACAGTTGCTTTCAGTAGTGTAGGAATGTGTATATAGCTAGAAGGGAGCTTAAAGCATCTATTCAGTACAGTGTTTATTAAAAGTGGAGGCATTGAAAAGTGTACTCCTTATCCCAGTATATGTATTTTATTTTTGAAGTGCTATGTTGCAATAAGCCATTTTTTTCTATCTTTCTTTGTAAAGAAAATCATGGTTGGCTTGCTCAAATAATGTATGAAAGGAAAAAAGGAGGAGGAGGAGACATTTATCTGTATTTCTACAACCCATCACACATTGTGGTGAATAAGATGAGCCAGTTGATTGTCTTTCAATAAAGATCTTCTCAATCTTACACAAATGGTAGCCATATGGATTCATTGTTAGCTGGCCATGGCTAACTTATCTCACCTAACTGATAAGATCTAAAAAACTATTCTCCATCTTCTCCACCCTCTTGGACCCTCCAAAAGCCCCTCCCCCTCCTCACTTCTGTCAAGCGACTTTGTTACCCACTTTGAAAAAAAGGTTGATGATATTCGCTCTTCTTTTTCTGACTCACCTTTACTCACCGCTGGGTCACCAGACCTTCCTTCCACCAACACACTTACCTCCTTTTCCCCTCTCTCTCCAAGTGAGGTTCTTACCCTCATTACCTCTGCCCGCCCTACCACCTGTCCTCTGGACCCTATCCCTTCAAACCTCCTTCAGACTATCGCTCCTGATATTCTACCGTTTCTCACCCATTTCATCAACACTTCTCTAACTTCTGGTCACTTTCCAAACAGTCTCAAGGAGGCAAGAGTAAACCCTCTCCTAAAGAAACCTACTCTCAACCCGTCTGATGTTATAAACTACAGGCCTGTCTCTCTCCTCCCATTCCTGTCTAAATCACTTGAACGCGCTGTCTTTAAACAACTCTCCTGTTATCTCCATCAGAATAACCTTCTGGATCCGCACCAGTCTGGTTTCAAGGCAGGTCACTCCACAGAAACTGCTCTCATTGCTGTCATGGAGGAATTGCACACTGCCAAAACTGCATCCCTCTCCTCTGTCATCATCCTGTTGGACCTGTCTGCTGCATTCGACACGGTGAATCATCAGATCCTCCTTCGCACTCTCCAAAAACTTGGAGTTTCAGGCTCTGCACTTTCCCTCCTCACCTCATATCTGAAAGACCGTACCTACAGGGTGACTTGGAGAGGGTCTGAGTCCCACCCTTGTCAATTAACTACAGGGGTCCCTCAGGCTCTGTTCTTGGTCCCCTCCTCTTCTCCGTGTACACAAACTCACTCGGATCAGTCATTAGCCCGCATGGTTTTTCATGCCACTGCTACGCTGATGACACCCAATTAATTCTGTCCTTTCCCCGCTCAGAGACCCAGGTCGTCGCACGCATCTCTGCTTGTCTAGCTGACATCTCTCAGTGGATGTCTGCACATCACCTCAAGCTCAACCTTGACAAGACTGAGCTGCTCTTCATTCCGGGAAAAGATTGTCCCACTCTTGACCTAACAATCAACATCGGCACCTCAGTTGTTTCCCCGACTCAGACTGCAAGGAATCTGGGTGTGACCCTAGATAACAACCTGTCCTTCACTGCAAACATAGCTGCCACAACCCGTTGCTGCAGATACACGCTTTACAACATCAGGAGGATACGTCCCCAGCTGACACAGAAAGCGACGCAGGTTCTGGTCCAGGCTCTCGTCATCTCACGCCTAGACTACTGCAACTCCCTCCTGGCTGGTCTACCTGCATGTGCCATCCGACCTCTGCAGCTCATCCAGAATGCAGCGGCTCGTCTGGTCTTCAACCTTCCTAAATTTTCCCACACCACTCCGCTCCTCCGCTCCCTTCACTGGCTTCCGGTAACTGCTAGAATCCACTTCAAGACACTGGTACTTGCTTAACATGCTGCGAATGGATCTGGCCCTTCGTACATCCAGGACATGGTTAAACCGTACACCCCAGCGCGTGCACTACGCTCTGCATCAGCCAAACGACTCGCTGCGCCCTCGCTGCGAGGGGGACCCAAGTTCCCATCAGCAAAAACACGTGGGTTTGCTGTCCTGGCTCCAAGATGGTGGAATGAGCTCCCCATTGACATCAGGACAGCAGATAGCTTGCACATCTTCCGGCGCAGACTGAAAACTCATCTCTTTCGACTCCACTTCGAGCGATAGAACTATTAACAAAGCACTTATATACTAATAAAGGACTGGCTTATCTAAAGCCAGTTGAGTAGCACTTGAAATGTTTTGGCTCTATGAAACCTGATGTACTTATATGATTCTGTTTTCTTCAAGGTTGTGTCTTCCTGGTCGAATGTACTTATTGTAAGTCGCTTTGGATAAAAGCGTCAGCTAAATGCAATGTAATGTAATAAGATCGACTTTCCTTAAACCAGCTTAATCACAACGAGCAAAAACCTGGCAATAGAGCTAATAGGAAACACTAATGTGTGTGGTAACCCGATGATATAGTGAGACCTAAATGAGAAAGAGCATAATTATTCATCATTATAAGTTACACCTTTTCCTGCAAGTACAAGTCAAAAAGCCTGCTGTGCAGCCACCAGCGTGAATTTGCTTACACAGCTGGGTCTTTTATATATTATTATAAACTCGTTGAGTTAGATTAATTAACAGTAAAGCAAGCAATGCTCTGAGCAATAAAATACAACAAACCTTCTTTGTAGCTTCCATGTTTCTACTTTAAGCTCATGATTACACTGAAGTCTGAACAACTGTGTGAGGTCTGCACTTTCCGAATGCCATTGTAGTTACTGGTGTAAAACATTTGTATTCATTTGTTGACGTGCTGTTCGTTTTCATTCTAACCCTGCACAAGTATAATTTTTTTTTCACATAGCAATACATTAATGTATGATAGCTGAATTCCAATATCTGTTCCAACATTTTTGAGTCCTTGCATTTGCCTCCTGACTTACTGCCAAATGCCGCACAATGCAATATGTTATACCAATCATAGGTAAAATAACACTTCAGTTTTGGTTTAATATGTGCAATAACCAACATATAATACAATTCACTAGTGAATGTATATCTAGAAAATAACACTCACACACTACACTGTCTCATACCTCTTCCAGGGATAAAGGTTACAATTTGAATGTTGGCTTTTATTCTTCTGCATCATTATGTCTGATTTACTCATCCAATTCCATCAAGCGTAAAGGCCTTAAATCAGGGGTGGGGAACCTTTTTCCTCTCAAGGGCCATTTCAATTTTTTCAACATCCTCCGGGGGCCGTAA